GTAAATTGCAAACAAATCTTTCCATGAACAATAAACAATGTAAACATTGCAGAAAACATGCAACATCGTATTGTAAATTGTAAGTTTAAATGTGCAGAATATACAGGTATTTGCCCCCAAAAAATTGCTCATATCAGAACAAGAACATGATCAACAAAAAATGACGGAATATTACAAAAATGCAACATCGTCTGTGTATAATACCGTTTTTGGAGGTTACCATCCTGTTTAATCAACATGTCATTATCGTGGGGAATACTGTGGGAAAATCCCCGACGGGCATTCTGCATTCTAACCTTATTTATTTAATCCTGAAACCCCTAAAACTCCAAAATTTTTGACGCATTTTCGACCGTCCCGTGTCTTCCATGTACTGCAAATATGCAGAATATGCATGTAAATTTCAAAAGAATCTACCCATGACCAATAAAACATGTGATAGTAAGCAGAAAAAATACAACATCGTATTGTTATTTACAATATGCAGAATAAACAGGTATTTGCCCAAAAAAACTTGCTCATGATCAATCAAAAAAAACACACTATGCAGAAAAAATGCAATATCGTCATCCGCCGATCCAAGAACACCTCGTTTACTCACATCTAATATCATCCAATATGTATGTACATGTATACATATTATGTAATATTTACAGCGCATATATATGTGTGTGTATAATGCCGTTTTCGGAGGTTACCATCCTGTGCATTTCAGGATGGTGGAGAATACCGTGGGAAAATCCCCGACGGGCATTCTAACCCTATTTATTTAGTCCTGAACCGTCTAAAACTCCAAAATTCTTGACGAAATTTTCGACCGTCCTGTGTCTTCCATGTACTGCAAATATGCAGAATATGCATGTAAATTCCAAACAAATCTACCCATGAGCAATAAAACATGTCATAATATGCAGAAAAATGCAACATCGTATTGTAAATTGTAAATTTAAATGTGCAGAATATACAGGTATTTGCCCCAAAAAACTTGCTCATGATCAGCAAAAAAGAAACCTGATCAACAAAAAATGACAGAATATTACACAAATGCAACATTGTCTGTGTATAATGCCGTTTTTGGAGGTTACCATCCTGTTTAATGAGCATTTCATTATCGTGGGGAATACCGTGGGAAAATCCCCGACGGGCATTCTGCATTCTAACCCTATTTATTTAGTCCTGAAACCCCTAAAACTCCAAAATTCTTGATGCATTTTCGACCGTCCCGTGTCTTCCATGTACTGCAAATATGCAGAATTTGCATGTAAATTGCAGCCAAATCTTTCCATGAACAATAAACAATGTCATAATATGCAGAAAAATGCAATATCGCATTTTAAATATGTAGAATATGCATGTATTCGCCACAAAACATTTTCATGATCAGCAAAAAAGTATAGATCACTAAAAATCACAGAATATGCACAGAAACAATGCAATATCGTCATCCGCCGATCCAAGAACGCCTCGTTTACTCACATCTGATATGTATGTACATGATACATATATGTAATATATACAGCGCATGTATACATGTGTATAATGCCGTTTTCGGAGGTTACCATCCTGTTTAATGAGCATTTCATTATCGTGGGGAATACCGTGGGAAAATCCCCGACGGGCATTCTGCATTCTAACCCTATTTATTTAGTCCTGAAACCCCTAAAACTCCAAAATTCTTGACGCATTTTCGACCGTCCCGTGTCTTCCATGTACTGCAAATATGCAGAATTTGCATGCACATTGGAACCAAATCTTTCCATGAACAATAAACAATGTCATGATGTGCAGAAAAAATGCAACATGGTATTGAACAATTTAGATATGAAGAATATACAGGTATTTGCCAAAAAAATGCTCATGATCAGCAAAAAAGACATGATCAATAAAACATTACAGAATATTGGACAAATGCAATAACGTCTGTGTATAATGCCGTTTTTTGGAGGTTACCATTCCGTTTAATCAACATTTACATTGTCGTGGGGAATACTGTGGGAAAATCCCCGACGGGCATTCTGCATTCTAACCTTATTTATTTAATCCTGAAACCCCTAAAACTCCAAAATTTTTGACGCATTTTCGACCGTCCCGTGTCTTCCATGTACTGCAAATATGCAGAATATGCATGTAAATTGCAAAACAAATCTACCCATGACCAATAAAACATATCATAATATGCAGAAAAGATGCAACATCGTATTGTAAATATAAATATGCAGAATTTGCAGGTATTTTCCCGAAAAAACATGTTCATGATCAGCAAAAAAAAGATCAATAAAAAATGGCATATGCAGAAAAAATGCAATATCGTCATCCGCCGATCCAAGAACACGTCGTTTGCTCACATCTAGATTTCATTTATCTATTTAAAACCTATATAGAATTCATAAGTTTTAGGGGCATATGCTGCGGAGGCATTCTAACCTACAAAAAACAAGGTTTGGTGGCCCCGGCAAACCAAGCTTTTGGACTGTTTTCGACTACGGTATTTTACGGGTTTTTATGGGTTTTGATGAGTTTTTACAGGTTTTCGACGGTTTTTCTACGGGTTGTGGCGAAGCTGCTTCATCAAAAACCTGGTTTTGTTGGCTAAAACCTGTTTTTTTCGCAGAAACTAGCTCAAAACCAGGTGTTGATACCTCGACCCGCTTTTTTCAGGGATTTGGTTGATGTAGGATATATGATGATGATATCAAACTTTGGTAAGTATTTATCTCAACCGTCATTGGGGACCAAGATTTCATTTATCTATATAAAACCTAGATAGAATTCAGAAGTTTTGGGGGCATATGCTGCGGAGGCATTCTAACCCTATTTATTTAGAAAAAAATGTTTTCGAACATGGTATTGAAAATTCAGAATTGCAATAAAAATGATATGCAGAAAAGAGGTGTTGATACCTCAACAGGATATATTTGCCAAAAAAATTGGGGACCAAGATTTCATTATCTATACAAAACCTAGATAGAATTCAGAAGTTTTGGGGCCATATGCTGCGGAGGCATTCTAACCCTACAAAAAACAAGGTTTGGTGGCCCCGGCAAACCAAGCTTTTGGTCGGTTTTAGACTACGGTATTTTACGGTTTTTTATTGGTTTTGATGAATTTTTTACAGGTTTTCGACGGTTTTTCTACGGGTTGTGGCGAAGTTGCTTCATCAAAAACCTGGTTTTGTTGGCTAAAACCTGTTTTTTTCGCAGAAACTAGCTCAAAACCAGGTTTTGATACCTCGACCCGCTTTTTTCAGGGATTTGGTTGATGTAGGATAAATATAAGTATATAGATATAAATATAAATATAAATATAAATATATATATATAATATATATATTATATAAGAATTCAAAAATCTATATATAGAATTCAGATGTTTTGGAGGCATATGCTGCGGAGGCATTCTAACCCTACAAAAAGAGAAAGGTTTGGTGGCCCCGGCACAACAGGTAGGCAAGTTTGATCAAACAATTTTTGAACATGTTTATCCACAGTTACCAGCATAATACGGACTGAAAGGTAGAATTTTAGTAGAATTTTTAAGACAATTTTCGGGGGGGCATTCTAACTTTCAATGGATTTTTTTTGGTGGCAGGTGGGTCATTCTAACTTTCAGTCCGGCGGAAAATCCCCGACGGGCATTCTAACCCTAGGTATTTAGTCCTGAAACCCCTAAAACTCCAATTTTTTTGACGCATTTTCGACCGTCCCGTGTCTTCCATGTACTGCAAATATGCAGAATATGCATGTAAATTGCAAAACAAATCTACCCATGACCAATAAAACATATCATAATATGCAGAAAAGATGCAACATCGTATTGTAAATATAAATATGCAGAATTTGCAGGTATTTTCCCGAAAAAACATGTTCATGATCAGCAAAACAAAGATCAATAAAAAATGGCATATGCAGAAAAAATGCAATATCGTCATCCGCCGATCCAAGAACACGTCGTTTGCTCACATCTAGATTTCATTTATCTATTTAAAACCTATATAGAATTCATAAGTTTTAGGGGCATATGCTGCGGAGGCATTCTAACCTACAAAAAACAAGGTTTGGTGGCGGCAAACCAAGCTTTTGGACGGTTTTCGACTACGGTATTTTACGGGTTTTTATGGGTTTTGATGAGTTTTTACAGGTTTTCGACGGTTTTTCTACGGGTTGTGGCGAAGCTGCTTCATCAAAAACCTGGTTTTGTTGGCTAAAACCTGTTTTTTTCGCAGAAACTAGCTCAAAACCAGGTGTTGATACCTCGACCCGCTTTTTTCAGGGATTTGGTTGATGTAGGATATATGATGATGATATCAAACTTTGGTAAGTATTTATCTCAACCGTCATTGGGGACCAAGATTTCATTTATCTATATAAAACCTAGATAGAATTCAGAAGTTTTGGGGGCATATGCTGCGGAGGCATTCTAACCCTACAAGAAAGCAGGTTTGGTGGCCCCGGCAAACCAAGCTTTTGGACGGTTTTCGACTACGGTATTTTACGGGTTTTTATGGGTTTTGATGAATTTTTACAGGTTTTCGATGGTCTTTCTACGGGTTGTGGCGAAGTTGCTTCATCAAAAACCTGGTTTTGTTGGCTAAAACCTGTTTTTTTTCGCAGAAACTGGCTCAAAACCAGGTGTTGATACCTCGACCCGCTTTTTTCAGGGATTTGGTTGATGTAGGATATATGATGATGATATCAAACTTTGGTAAGTATTTATCTCAACCGTCATTGGGGACCAAGATTTCATTTATCTATATAAAATCTAGATAGAATTCAGAAGTTTTGGGGGCATATGCTGCGGAGGCATTCTAACCCTACAAAAAACAAGGTTTGGTGGCCCCGGCAAACCAAGCTTTTGGTCGGTTTTAGACTACGGTATTTTACGGTTTTTTGTTGGTTTTGATGAATTTTTACAGGTTTTCGACGGTTTTTCTACGGGTTGTGGCGAAGTTGCTTCATCAAAAACCTGGTTTTGTTGGCTAAAACCTGTTTTTTTCGCAGAAACTAGCTCAAAACCAGGTTTTGATACCTCGGCCCGTTTTTTTCAGGGATTTGGTTGATGTAGGATATAAATATAAGTATATAGATATAAATATAAATATAAATATAATATATATATATAATATATATATTATATAAGAATTCAAAAATCTATATATAGAATTCAGATGTTTTGGAGGCATATGCTGCGGAGGCATTCTAACCCTACAAAAAGAGAAAGGTTTGGTGGCCCCGGCACAACAGGTAGGCAAGTTTGATCAAACAATTTTTGAACATGTTTATCCACAGTTACCAGCATAATACGGACTGAAAGGTAGAATTTTAGTAGAATTTTTAAGACAATTTTCGGGGGGGCATTCTAACTTTCAATGGATTTTTTTTGGTGGCAGGTGGGTCATTCTAACTTTCAGTCCGGCGGTATACCATTAAAAAAAAAACATTAAATACCATTAAAAACACCATTAAATACCATTAAAACACCACTAAATACCATTAAAACACCATTAACACACCATTAAAACACCATTAAATACCATTAAAACACCCTTAAATATCATTAAAACACCATTAACACAACATTAAAACATATGAAAACAACATTAACATCACCACCTTTTGGCTGCCACTGAGCCGCTTCTGATCCTTGGACAAAAGCAACCGTTGCAGCAGCCGATCCGCCACTGCAATGGCGCTGTTCAGGAAGACCCATCCAACTCCCTGAAGCTCTGGGAGAAAATGGTGCGTTTTACGTAGGGAATGGATGGAACTGGGGGAATGGGATGATTTCTAGTGATTATGGATCATGTGATTATGGATCATGTGATTATTACTAGTGATTATTACTAATTAGTGATTATTACTGGTGATTATTACTATGTTAATGATGCTTAATTGGGTTAGTAACCATTAATAGTTAATGATTGTTGATAATTAATGGTTAATGATGGTTATGATAGCCAGTTATCCATATAGATATAGAAGTTTCCTGAAATAGGGCTACCCCCAGTCATCATCCATTTGAGATTGGGATTTTCCATGAAACCATCCAGCGATAAAGGGGTAGCCCCATTTTAAGAAACCCCCAAGTGAGGATTTACCGTGTATTTATGGCATTTTCGTGGATTTGTATGGAACACATTATGATTTTCCAAGCAAAATCATGTCTACAATGTGAGGCCCCCCCAGTGAAGTTAGTTGGTTTATAAGCCCCAGGAATACTATAGTTATAAGTACCATAAACCATAGTTATTGGAGTTATTTGAACCAACTGAACGCTATCTTGGGGGCCTCACATTGTACAACAAGTGGCTTCCCAAATGATGGCCACCTTTCAGGAGAACAATTTATGAAGCCATGTCATTTTTGGTCCATCAACGATGGAGATTTAACCCAAGGCTGATCTCACCAGCAAGAGGGCTTGGGGCTGGAACAAATGTAGCGGCAAACGCAATGTAGGGCTTTTCCATGTGGTTAAGCAAGTTCTGTTTTGAAGCAAGTTCTGTATGTCCTGTTACAAGTAAGAACTTGAGAGATACACTGGAATGTTGATGGTCAACACATACAATGTGGAGCCCCTAACTATGAATTGTTTTATAATCCTATCTAACGATAACTACAACTACCAGTACCACAGACCTTGGTCAATCTAGTGTTAAACCAACTAATCTATCTAGGGAGCCCCATTTTTGTTTTGTTGACTCTCAATCATTTGGATGGCTGATAAAAATCAAAAGTTACCCCGCCAAAGGGAACTCCTGCTAAAGGCAGTTTTTTGGGTAACCAGCAAGTAATAACGCCACGATTCAAAATCCATGCTTCCAACAGGAACATATCGAGCTGACTTACAAGTTCTTTCATGGGCAAATGATGATGCCCTCTGGTAAATCAACGATTTCTATGGCCATGTTCAATAGCTATGTTTGTTTACCAGAGGATAAATCCCATTGCACCCGCCATTTTAAATAGTTTTTTGTAAGTTTACCAGAGGCTAATTCCTATGTCCAGAGCATATCTTTGACATATCCAATGTCCTGATCGCCATTTTACCATGACCTCGCTGTGCCCAGAAACAGTTTCTTTCATGGAACAAAAATCCATGTTTAACAACCTGGTTGGTGGTATAATATACTCCATTAGTTCATTAATATGTGGAAACATAATCCAAATGTTCCAAAACACCAACCAGCAACCATTCATCAGTTGGTTTACCTCTCATTTAACAGGATCTTTTCGCCAGTTAAGAGGTTCAGCAACATCATTGATGTTGACTAAATCCAAATCTTTTGGATAAATCCATGTTTCTGGCTGGTTAAATGTCATGTGTCTTCAAACATGATGTATGTATGTAGTGTAATGTGATGTAATGTAATGTCATGTAATGTCATTGTCATGTAATTGTAATTGGGGTATGGATCAATACCTATTAATACCGTTTTTAGGCGAATGAACATCCATTTACCAGCTATTTTGATGTTCACCAGGGGTACAAGGTTTTGACACACTGCCATTTATTTGTAATGAAATATAATGTAATGTAAATCACACCTTGTCCACATACAGTTTGTACGTACGTACTTTTTTTGAGCAGATTCGCGTAGATGGATTTTCCATGGGATGTTCCATGGTATTCATATAATATGGGCAAAACCAGTTTAACCAGTTTGTTGGTATATCATTTATAAACCACCCAAGTAGTTGCCAATAATTTGCTATAACTACCATTTATGCCAGCAGTTACTGTAGCTCTGTGGCCCCCGTTATGGGGCCCCCTTCAGATGTAGCTCTCAGCGCACCTGCCAGTGGTTACCAGAGAGCCTGGACACATACATCAGAGCGCCTAAGACCATCATCCTCGGATCTGCGCTGCAGCCGCGCTGAAATCCCGCCAGGTTGACATGAAAGAAGGGAGAAACTCAAGCCATACAGTAAAACATTCATCAACTTTAAGTGTCAACTGTAAGCTTTATGGATATTGGATTATCAACCCATATATAACTTAAAGTAACATTTATCAACTTTACTTGTTGGTGGTGTTAACCATCTTGAAAAATATTAGTCAATGGGAAGGGTTATCCCATATATTATTGAAAAAAGATGGTTTGAAATCACCAACCAGTTTAAGTGTCAACGGTAACCTTTGCGGATCTTGACCTTGATGGATTATCAACCCATATATAACTTAAAGTAACATCTATAACTGGCAAAGGGTTTTAACTTTGAGTGGAAATGAACCATCAACAATAGGCGTTGTGACCTGTTTTCACAATGTTGGATCATGGTGATAATCAAGGGACCCATATATATATACACATACATACAACTTGGCTTTGGACCTGGAAAACCATCATGATGTTTCATCAGGTTGTTTTTTCCCTTAAGGGACTTAACCAAACAATCATGGGATAGTCCCATCATGGGATGTGTCCGGTTGACCCGGAAGACGGAGAACAACTTCAGACAATTTCACAAAGCGTCCCGGACGGAGAAGAAACGGTTGAGATATGCCATCTGGCTATATCTGGTTGGTGGGATTGTACATTGTAAGGTAAGCATTTGTTGATCCTGTCCAAAGAGTGACGTCTTGGGGGTGAATTGAATGGTTCATGGTAGATATAACCAAAGTTACCCTCTGGTTATTTAACATAGCCATGTACATCAACAAACATCACATTGTAAGGTAAGAAGAATGACTGCACGTGGGAATCATCTAACATAATCCAAATATAGTTGGATGGAATTCTGGTTGGTGGTATACCTACCCCTCTGAAAAATATGAGTTCGTCAGTTGGGATGATGACATTCCCAACTGAATGGAAAATAATTTTCATGTTCCAAACCACCAACCAGGTATTATTTAGATGTTACCAATACATCTTCCGTGAACTACTTGGGTATCCCACTTGAAATATGTGGTGCGCCCATGAGTTTGCCTAAATTGGTTTATAACTTGGTTATCCAGAGTTGTAATCGCAGTTATAACTAGTGTTCGATGGGATAACAAAAACACCGACATTTCATGACTTGGGCGTCCCACAGTCGTATCACTTACGATGCCTTGCACCGAGCCTAGTGCGTCTTTCAGTTCTTCTCTTTCATGTCATCTTCAGAGACTCGTCACTGTCTGGATGATGCTCTGCTGGATGATGGTTTACACTCTGGTACTTTAACAGTTTGCGAACTTGAAAATGGCCATAGAAAGTTCGTTGATGTATCCATTAACCGTAACCATGGTGATTTTCCAGTTCGCAGTCTGCTTGTTGGTGGTGTATCTTGAAAAATATGAAAATCAATGGAAAGATTATCCCATATATTATGGAAAATAAAAAATGATTGACACCACCAACCAGACTGTAAACGTTTACCAGAGATTACCAGACGACATCTGTCACAAGGGCGAACCTTGCCCTGGCACAACTTCTCTCTGGGACATCTCAAAACACCCTCCAGCCACGTGAATACCCAGGATATCCAAAAAAAACGTGGGTTGTATGTCAACCCCCCATGAAAAATATGAAAAATGCTCTGCAATTCGGTTTCTCCCACATGTCATCATTCATGGTTGTAACTCCCTAATAAATCAAATAGCTTCCCAAACAGGTGAATTGTGCTCTTCCTATCTCCACATCCAGAACCACAATGGATGCCTCAATATATTCATCATTCGGTCTACTTAATTTCCAAAGTGAATATCTCAATATATCTCAATATATCTCAACATATCTCAATATATCTCAATATTGTCAATCAATATATATATATATCAATCTACTGATTTACAATCGACATGAACATGTGCAATGCAAATATATAGATGCCGAAAAATAGGAAAATATCGGGGAATCATCATAGTTCACTACCATCCTGGCAGCATTTTTTGTCCGTCCATCTCTTTACACCCTGTGTGGAACCAAGAAATAACCACCAACACCATGATGTCTTCAAGATCACATTCGGCCATTACACCCTGGGTGTCTGTTTCAAATGGGCTACCGCAGTGGCATTTACAGATGGAATCCCCATGGATCCCCTATTTTCAGACAAAACCAGATTAAATTCTTTGATAAACCTGATACAAGGTTGTGCCCCCCAGTTATAAGTTGGTTTATAAACCATAGTAAGTATAGATATATCACCTATAAACCATAGTTATTGGAGTTATAAACCATAGTTATAGATACATCACAACCCAAACATGGATCCGTGTGGCTGTTCTGCCGAAAAAAAACTATCGTTTCTTTGATTCCCACGAAGTTTTTCATGCGACCATCATGGGTTAACATCAAACCCAGAAAATTTCAACATGAGCAGTGCTTAACATAAACCAATCTATAAGTCCATAGAATTTTGAATTAAGACGGGTTTTAGCAGCCACTGAGTCCTACATATTTTTGTTGGTTGTATAGTTATATACCCATTGAATCCTACCATTCAATCTCCAAATAATTCCTATAAAATCCAATGATTTTTTTCATGAAATCAAAACAGGTCAAATGAAATCACCATGAAATTCCTAACAAAAATCCAATGAAACACCATGAAATCCCCCCACTAACAAAAGACAATCCCAGCGTCACAATGGCCGCCACCATGGCGCGTGAGATCCGGATGGGTTCCGGATAGAAGCGTTCCATCATGAGCGCCACTAAGGGAGAGGCGTTGCGCATGACGATGACCAGAGACATTGGGGCGTGCTTCAGGGCCTTGGGTGCACCATCTTTCACCATAAAAAAAGGAAGCTCTACCCTCTTTTGGTAAACATACAAGAAACGATGGAAAATCACAATCTTTCAATAGGTAAAATCAACTACAAAATGGGTTAGGGTAACCATGATTTTCATGGTGGAACATGGAGATTTAAAGACTTCACCAATTGAATTTCAACCTGAAGCATCATGATACAAGCAACATTTTTTCATTAGGGAGTTTAAGTCCCATTAGTCAAGTCCCATCAAAATACTCCATTCGTTAAGTCCCTATAAAGAAAAATAGATAAGGGACTTAACAAATGGAATCATCATCAATAGTAGGGACTTAACTATGAATTGGCTAATGGACCGGGGGTGTGGAAATGAACCATCAACAACTTTAATCATCACAGTTATGGCCCTTTACGAGTTATAAGTACTTATAACCCCATTTACAGAATGTATAATCCCATTTATAACCAGTTATAACTCATAAATGGCCATATCTGCAGGAATGATGATTGGGATTTGTGTTTGGGACTTATTTAATGGAATATCGGAATAACCAAGTGGGTAATTTAAGTAAAGAAATTTATGCCAACATCAGGAGTTTTAACAATGAACAAATAATGGGATAACTCATTAATATAGGATAGCTGGGATAATACAATTAAACAACGGGGTTTAAATAGTCAATCTGATAAAATAGGCAATTTTATATAATCATGGGATACATCCACTGGGAAAACGGTTAATGAAAAAATGAGATAGCAAATGAGATAATAATTAGATCCCATAATCATCAATAATAGATGATACTCGCAGGACTGACTTCACTCACGGAATAATCATCAATAGTAGGAACTCAAGTACAAATAAAGATAGGAAATTAACTGATGAAATAATAGCAGGGGCTTAAGATTTTAACCATAAATAGGGACTTAACTACTGAAGTAATCAATGGGCTAATTCAGCTAATGGAATTTATACCTCAACATTAGGGTTTTTAAACATGAAAAAATGTGGAACATGGGGATTTAGTCAGCAACAAAAACAAGGGATATTAGGGGATAAACACGGCATACACATTTTTTGGATATAACTAATGGACAAATTGTGCTAAAGGAAGCATTTGACCATCAAACATACAATGCTTAACTTGTCATGCCTTCTCAGAGACACTGGTTAAGACTCAGAGAGTAGCTTAATATCTGCCTACATCTAATGGGAACGCCTTGTCTTGTTACTGTCTGAGTCTTGGATACCGTGCATTTTTTCTACCTGCTGAGAATGTTATTCCCGATATTCTATCCCCCCAAGAAAACAGCAAAGGTAAAGACTATCGCCGCCTCCCAAGTGACTCTAAAGTCAACGCCTTCTGCGGTAGTGACAACCAATAACCCACAAAGTGGGGCTCCCCACGTTTAAGCTGGCTGACCTGCCCGACCATTAAAATTGCAGCGGAAACAAACAGAAATAACCCACGAACAGATTAATCAATGAGTGGGCTATTTAAGTTGTTTCGACATTTCCCAGACATCAACGGAGGCAAGCTGGTTTGTATATCTATATATATATATATATACATCCTATACACAAATTCAACAACACGGTATTGTATTTCAATGTGGTTCCCTCAAGTTCAAAGTTGTGTTGTAATCGCATCGAACAACAACTACCAAACACCTTAGTTAACCAAGTTGTAAACCAACTTAGCTATCCAGGGAGCCCATCTATGGAAGATATGGCTCCTTGCTGTGGGTCACCAGTCGACAGTAAAGGCGCCAGAATTGAAGTCAGCAACATGCCACAGTAGAAAGGCACCACTGTGCACCATCTAAGCAAGTCCTTTAAGGAACCTCAGAGCATGTTCACAGCCAGGCGTCATCCCTAAAGTTGCTGCTTGGTCAATAGATGTTTCCAAAGTGGATTGTGATAAGGACATTTGTTTGAATAGTATAGCAGTATAACTACATAACTACCCAGTATCATAATAATCAATCAACCGGGGTTCAGCAGCCACTGCCCAGCTGTTTTACATTGGATATAGCTTGGGCTGGAATCCAGGTGGGGCCTGCAGGGTTTGCCAGTCACCTGTTGGACAGGGTAAAACACCCTCCCCACGTGAGGAACTTTTAAGAATCACTGCTGGTCTAAAGGTGGGATGTATGCTAGTCACCAGGGCTTATGCTAGTCGCACCTAAAAAACCCTGGTTAACTTAGTTATAAACCAACTTAGCTAACTATGGGGCACCAAAGGCACCACAGTGTGTATATACCGCTGACCAGATTCTCCCAATACTGATCTCGAATTGTCCATACTAGTCCATACACCACCCGGCCAAAATGGTGAGTGTAGTAAACTCAATCACCAACCCCAATATTGGGGATTGTTCTGGATTTGCCACCCTAGTTTTCGAATAAAAACAAAGGGCAATACATTGATGGTGATGTTGCAAATATTGCATCTCTGTGTCTAAATGTCTTAAAACGCTTGAGACCCAATCATCGCTTTCGCATTCCCAAAGTCAGCAAAATCTTGGCTGTAAGATTGGAAAAAACAGGGTATACTCACATCTTTCGAAAGATCAGATTCATTACTTAACTGTCCCGACTGTATATTGTCTATATACTTTTCTTTGCCAATAGAAAATGCCAGTGTGTTCACTCAAATTTTCGGCAGTACAAACTCAGATTTGGAGACACAGAATTCCTTCCTTTACATGTCGAGCCTTCCTAAAATGGGGATATCCCCAAAACATCCAAAATAGGTCCATTTGATGTATTGAAACCTATGGTTTTGTGGACCCCCCATTTTGGGAAACCTCCATGTGTCATCTACATAGATCACCTTTGAAGGGACTATCAGTGACTATCAGTATCCAGCTATGGCCGTCCCATTCTGCTCGCAGCCTTCCTTTTTTGAAACGGGAGGCCAATGTGGATGTAGGGGAAAGCGAACAGCAGCATGAATCCAGCGGCAAAAGCAAGCTGCAGCCAAACCAAACAACATTCCTCAAGCGGTTCAAGGTTGAAAAAACCACCCGTGGAGAGGTCACATAAGTTAAACGCTTTTTGTTTTTTTCGGGGTTACTCCCAACACCCTAGCTTCAAAGGGGGGGCAATAAAAAGTAGACAAAGATGTGAAATGCCGAATGCGCGCATCTACTTAGAATGGCTTGGAGCATTGGCCCGCGTAAAACACTTTTTCTATGTGGCTTTTAACCCCTTTCACTGGGGACACATCACCCTGCTAAGGATGAGAGAAACACAATTTGATTCAAAAGGAAGCTTTATCGAACAAATAATCCTCTTGTCATGAGAAGTTTTTAAGGTCCATCTAAGTTGGGTGGATGGTCATAAGATCCAAATGCGTTTGATAAATACAAAGATATGTCCATGAATTGCCTCTTACATGCATGTTGTATGTCCATTAACTGTTGGTAAATGTCAAACTATGTCCGTTTTAATTTCAGTATAATCCATGATGTTCCATCTACAGAATCTAAAGTACATAAGCTCATCTGAAGATGCAGTCTCCAACAACTTACCCAGATTAACATAGACCTAAGAAAATATCTAATTTTTAGTGGAACCTAAGCGTTCAACCCCCTATTGGGCAGGGTCTATGTTAATTTGACGGGTGGCAAATTATTTCAGGGAAAATTAAGGGTGGTCCGGTCACGATTTTTTGTTGGTGTATAATCCTATCCGGCCCATCTAAGTTTAACTAAGTTAGTTCAACCAACTGATCTATCGCAAACGGGGGGGCCCACCGAAAAAAAATCCAGACCTTAGATGGGCAAAATTGGCAACATGTCTGCTTGGTGGTATACCTACCCTTCTGAAAAATATGAGTTCGTCAGTTGGGATCAAAATTCCCATGTTCCAAACCACCAACCAGATCTGTTTTTCCTGTTTTTCTGCCATGACATTTTTATCAACCTGCAACCGGTGCGCAACGTACGCGGGTCAATGCGTGTCATTCAAGCGGTGGTCTTCGCCAAAGGGGTGCCTACTCAGTTACTAAGCGTTCCTTAAAAACGTGTCGGGTGCTATTGGGACACCACCTTTTTTTTGTGTCATCCCGCGTCGATTTCGATGAGTTTCAAAACCTGAGCAAATTCTACCTTGAGACATCCTACACTGGCATTTCCTGAGGAAACAAAGGTCATGTTTTTTTTCGGTAAAGCCTTGGTTGCCTACGGGACCATTGTCAAAAAAAATGACTTGACATTGGAAATCATGCTTTTCTGGTGTGCTATCTCCATGAACTCCAAGGGGTGACTCATAAACACTCCTTAAGAATTTCAGTTTTCGTGGTGCTAATGCATCCCCTAAAACGTGTCCAGCTCCCGGAAGGCACTCAATGGGAGGCTGATTATCTCATCGCAGATTGCCCGTTCCCGCACGTGGGACTTGGAATCGCGGATGTCCGCTGGAGGGAGTTCCATCACGCAGGGAGGAGTGTGGGTGAGGAACGATTGAGCCGCCAGGAACTTGCCCATCTCCGTGTACAAATGCCTCCAAGCATCGATGTCAGAGGGGAGCTCCCTGATGCCCAACTCCTGGACAAACGTCCTCACCTCCCTCTTGATTGCCAGGTGGCACTGGGGCTTGTTCCTGCCCTTCTCCACTCCATGCGAGCTTTTCCAATTGTTCCAACCTCTCTTGCGAGGCTGAAACGCCTGAGAGGGTAGAAGGCCACAAGCGAGGCAATCGCCTGAGCAACTGCCTGAGCCTTGCCAAGGTCAACCTTGCCCTCCGTGGTTGACGAAGCAGCAGCGAATTCCACAATTGGATCTATTGCGGATGCAGCTGTTGGATATAGCGCTGCCCGCACCGCAGCTGCTATGGCTACTTTTGAGGCCGAAGCCTTGGCTTGTTCGCGAGCCGCTGTCACCACAGTCTCGTCTGCTGGGCTCTGATCTGTCAAGGCTCGAAGGGAAAGCGAGCCTAGAATAGATGCAGTTGGAGAGAAAGATTCGAATAAATCCACTATTTTCCTGAGGCCACGGGCCAGTGCCGCCCCCTTCACCTCCTCTCTGAGGGCGCGCTGAGCCAGCGGGTGCATCTCTCTGTTGGAAAAATGTCCGCTGTCACCGAGGGCCAAACCAAAGCGTTCCAGGCTCTTTGAGAGGGCAGCAAGCGCAGCCTTGGTGCCTCCATGGCCAAAGTCATCTGCTGGTCCTAAACATAGCTTTTAGAATTATAAACCAACGTAGCTATCGTTTAAGGGCCTTATCTTGTAATGTCAACCCCGCATAAATAAACAATGGTTTATTAATTTGGGGGTACTCCTCCAATAGTCATAATCTGATATTTCCCCACCTGCCAGGTGAGGGTTGTTAGATTTTATCAGAGTTGTTCTTCTCCTTCTCCTTCTTCTCCTCCTCCTCCTTCTCCTCCACCACCTCTGCCTCCACTTCCATGTTCACTTCCGCCTTGCCAACTCTTCGCCAAGCTCTTCGCCAACTTCCGCACGCAGTGGGCACTGCTGGACCTCAACTTCAAGGGTCTGAACGCACTGGGCACCGCTGGACCTCAATCTGGGACCTTCCGAGCTCAGTGAGCACCGCTGGACTTCAACCTGGGACCGTCCGAGCTCAGTGAGCACCGCTGGGCCTCAACCTGGGACCCTCCGAGCTCAGTGAGCACCGCTGGACCTCAACCTGGGACCCTCCGAGCTCAGTGAGCACCGCTGGACCTCAACGGCCAGATAGAATGCCAGAAGATATGCCAGATAGAACGCCAGATAGAATGTCAGAAAGAATGCCAGAAGATATGCCAGATAAAGTGCCAGAATGTTTGCCAGATAGAATGCCAGAAGATATGCCAGATAGAATGCCAGAAGGTATGCCAGATAGAATGTCAGATAGAATGCCAGAAGGTATGCCAGATAAAGTGCCAAAATGTTTGCCAGAACATATGCCAGATTGCCAGATAGAATGCCAGATAGAATGTCAGAAGATATGCCAGAAGATATGCCAGATAGAGTGCCAGAAGATATGCCAGAACATATGCCAGAAGATATGCCAGAAGATATGCCAGATAGAATGCCAGAAGGTATGCCAGATAGAATGTCAGATAGAATGCCAGATAGAATGTCAGATAGAATGCCAGATAAAGTGCCAGAATGTTTGCCAGATAGAAAGCCAGAAGATTTGCCAGATAGAATGCCAGATAGAATGTCAGAAGATATGCGAGAAGATATGCCAGATAGAGTGCCAGAATAAAGGCCAGAACATATTGCAGAAGATATGACAGGTAGAATGCCAGAAGATATGCCAGATAGAATGCCAGAAGATATGCCAGATAAAATGCCAGAAGATATGTCAGATAGAATGCCAGAAGATTTGCCAGTAACAAAGCGTATAGATGTCATGGTGGGGATAATTCGAAGTAAAGTAATTTTTTTTGTGGTACTCTCCCAATTAAACAGGCGTTTGGTGTTTATTAATCCAGGATTGACATTAATGTTCAGACAAACCCAGGTGAGAATGAAGACCCGCCAAGAGTCCAAAGGAAAAGCCTCCACTGCCTGACACAGAAGCAGGCAACCGAGTTGCCGACAACTGGTGGACACCATGGATGGGCCCCGGAAAAAAAATCGAACACAATCAACTGGTTAGTGGTATTATACCTACCCCTCTGAAAAACATGAAAGTCAGTTGGGATGATTATTCCCAATACATGGCAAAAATACCACCAACCAGTTTTGGACAACACATGAATAACTGCCTAAAATTGGGAATTTAACGGTTGTGGACAACAGACAAAAGTCAATGGACATGGTTTGCCAGTTTGATATACGTATTACTATGAGACAAACCATGACACATGCCACTGTTCAGTCATGGATTTGTTTCACTCAAACAACTTAAATACGCAAATCCCCATGGACAGTTTGTAGATATCATGTGTCACTGGAAACCACGGAACTAGCTGTCGTGGAACTATCCTTGGAAATAGTTGTTGTGGACCCATCACTGGTGCTTGTTTATGTTTTCTTTGTCCGACTCACTATCAACAACAAGTACAGTATCTGGAATATCAGTTGATTAATATGATCCGACTTCAGCAAAAGGCACGGTGATTCATCTAGTAACAATGCTGGTTGCAACCAACAATAAGCAATCAATAAACAGTTTTGGTCTGATTTTATTTGGCGGTGCACACCACGCAAATGTTAGTCATCCACAACAGTACATTGAGTGTAGCTACATAGTGGGTCAGCCAGAAAGGTAACTAGGGTTAAACGGGGCCATGCTCAAACAAACCTAGGTTTGAAGTCTCCAGCGCTGTCTATTTCCAATCAAAGAAGCAATGGATCATATTTCCAATGGTGGCAAAAAAGGTAAGCACAGCCTTCAGAGAATACTATTTAACGTTCAAGGGGTCACAATACCCAAATGTTGGTGGTGGTAGTGTCGAAAATCAATGAAATCATGCAAACAGCTGCCAAGTGAGAGCATTGCGTGATGTTTGACGAATGAGGGCAATGCAACCCTGCCGATGGACTATCCTAAAAAAAACCAGTTGAGGTAAACCATTTAAACTGATTCCCACACGGGATTTTTATAAACTAGCAAGTGGGAATATGTATGGGATAGTGATGCTCATGTGTGCAAGCGTTATTTCAAGTAAAACGCAACAATGCAGTCAACACATTGGCGACTTGCCATGGCTCCCCATTCACAGGATCCCTGGCAACTGTTACAACCTATTGGAACAAAATCAACACGCGCCAGCTTTGCCATATATTTGTACGGTCACAAATTTGAGGACATTCGGTGCACCAAACATCTTCCCAGGTATTTTTCCCATCTCGCGGGGAACGAAAAAATACCTAAAGTGCCATTGAGAAAGCATACTCATTTGACATATTCCCCTACCCGATCAACCAATAAAATCCAGGTCACAAATTTGTTGAAGAGGAGCATCCCAACGGAGGAAAAGCAGTTGAAGGTGCATGCCTCAAAGCCGTCTGCATGTCCCACTTCAACATCAAAAAAGGCCGTCGCGCGTGCTCAAAATCTACAGGAGCAGAACAACAAAACCTCATGAGCTAAGGGATGCCCTGCCCCCAAGTTGTTTCATTGTTGCGTACCGTGCTGCCGCTTCCAATCAAACCGTCATCATACAGCAACAGCAACTGGCCGCGCCCCGCGCCCCGCAACCCTGCAGCTTTCCGCTTTGCTGGTGCCATGTTCTGGGGGTTAGCGTGGCAAAAACAAGGCGGCAAGGACCAGCAAGAATCGGGCTAAGTGCGCAATTGCCAATACAAACTTTGATAAGTGGATGCCCACGGATGTCTTATATTTACTGAGTGTGGCCGGCAACCATAGCAGCTGATTGGCCGATTGTCGTAACACTGCTTGGACCAGGAAGTCAGTCAACAGGGCGATGCCCTGTGGAATTGTCGTCCTAGGAAACCTTCCACCTACAAGGTGGGCCTGCCCAGTTCTGGAATGTAATCCCATCTAGCTCTAGTTCCAAATGCTATAAACCATAACTCTGTTGGTTATGTAGCTCCCAACATGGTTGTCCAAAAAAAGGGGCTCCCACCTTGAACGATTGCCGCGTCTGGGAGTACCCCTTGGCCCGACCATCTGCGTGCTACTCTTAATAATTGCGAAAGGCCCCCATTCCCTTCACGAACAAAGTTGAAGATTATCATGACCATCCACTAGGGTTTACTCACAAACATTTGGGTACAATATTAGTATTAGTAATAAGCATTTATGTATTGTTGAATTATTGGATTATATTTTGTTGAATTACTATATGATTAGATTATATATTGTTATACGCGGAATCTCCATGTGGGTACAATACCTTAATGGACTGCGATGCTTAGATGATCCTGGAAGTCAGAATAGTTAGTTTCTAGGTTTTTATGTGAACCAAGGATCGGTAGGGGACACAATACCAGGAACATATGGATGGGCAGAACACATTAAGAGCATCATATTCCACCAGATTTTACTACATAAATTAACACCATTCAGTCATTGGTTTAACATTTGACCAGAATGAATAGTGGCTAAACCCAGTAGTAAAGTGGTGAATGTTATTTAAGGTGGGTTATAATTATAAGTTGGTTTGTAACCTGCATGGATACTATAGTGATAACCATGCACCATCGTTATTGGAATGATGTCTACCAACTTACCTACCATAAATCAGCTACAGATCCCATTAAATCGCAATTGTTTTGTTTAAATCAACATGTTCCATTTTTTCGAACGGGGACCTCACTTTGTAGACATCTATATAAATAAACTATGAACAGATTTGCAAAAGGCAAAAGGCAATCAAGTCTGACCCGACTCCCTGAATGGTAAGCCTCCCATCATAGGGCTTTGAGATACGGCCTACTATTGGTGTTGATAATGTTTTTTGTTAATCTCTTACTTGCAAAATCCAGTTGAGGTTGTAAGTGGATATGCAAGCATAGTTCTACAATGTGGGGCCCCCAGAGTTATCAGATGTTATAAGTTGGTTTGTAAACACCATAAACTATAGGGAGTGGTGGAGGAGGAGTGGCCGAGGAGAAGGAGAGAAAGAGGAGGAGGAAGACGGGGAAGAGGAAGAGTAGCACCTTTGTGAAAATCGAGAGACCTTCACCTGGCAGGTGGGGTTTCCCACCCCCATTCAAATCGGTGATTTCTCAGTTAGCACGTTTGAATACTGGATTTTTTTTGATAAACTGGTTGTTCTTTTTGTTCATTTATATGGCACGTGGAGATAATTAAAACACTGCCAACATGAGCCCATAGAATGAATGAATCCAAGACTAAACATTCCAATGAGTGTCTTTTCGTTTGGTAACGCAAAAAGAAACGACCATCTCAAGATTGGGGGAATGGTTCTCCCATGATTGGAAATTGGTGGGTTTACTGTAATGAGTTTAATGTGTCAATATATCCCCTATTCTGATTAAATCCCTCATTCCTCCCATAACCTGGGACGATAAAGTTGTGAAGCTACGAAAAACACACCGTTTTTTGCCCAGCTTCTAGCAATGTTTCGAAGTGCAGATTCATCCCAGCGGACAGTGACGAACGGCGCTAGCGTGGCACCGACTACAATATGGACGGGTGGCGGCTCGAACCAAAGCTCGGCACGCTGGAAAAGGGATTCAACGGCAGGGGGAAGTTGACAACTTGGAAGTGTGTCTTCCCTTAGCCTTCTTAGTTTAACTTTTTGTTGGGTACAGCACTTGGATGATAAATGTGGTTTCAAAGAATCCCGCAAAGGCTCAACATCTCGATCTTTATGACCATGATCCTTCCCAGAAATGAAGGATTTCACCAATGACTATGTGGATCTCATCAACACTTTTGTGATGTCGCCCAAAAAAAATAGGGGGATCTAGTTCATCAATGAAAATCACAGGATTTAATCATATTTCATCAACAAACAGGAGTGCAAAAGGCAAACTCAGGGATTTGACAAGCAAACCCGCAGATCGAGGATCTGAAGGTTCCTACTGAAGAGGGCAAACAGCGATAGATTATCGGGCGACGTGTTCTGCGTAGCGCCGGGAAAGTGAATCATGCAATGTGAAATTGGCCAACAATAATCATGTACAGTTATGGCCCTTTACCAGTTACAAGTACTTATAACATCTTAAAACCCCATTTGTAGAATGTATAATCACATGTATAAACAGTTAAAACTTTTGACTAAGAAATGGCAAAAACTCCAGGCATTTTGCCATGAGGGTTTTTCAACAGGAACTAACAATGCTTAGTTCTTAGCCGATCTGTCCCGTGGAAATGTCACCAACAGCGAATTTGAAACTCAACAGTATGTCTACCCTCTGGTAATTTGTTACATTTTGCTATGGACAATCACCGTTTTGTAGCTGGGTAAATCAAAGAACTTTCTTATGGCCATTTTCAATAGCTACTCCCACGTTAAGTCACCGGATGGTATATCTAATATGCCTAGTTAGCTTAGTCACGAACCGGCACAGGATTGGGAACACTGTAGGCTTAATCAACCCACATTATATGTATTTTCCAGCACAGGTAGTTTGAGAACCGAAAGGGGAATTAGGGGCCGGGACTGTTACCTGAGTTAGTCAACAAAGGATTTACCTATTGGACATTGTGATTTCACACTGGCATGTTAGAGTATTGAACTGGTTGATTATTGTCGTAGAACATGGGCGGTTTTCAGGTTCTATGTTAGTTGGATGGATTAAAAGATCCCTGTGCGTGTGATAAAAACTCAAATATGTTTTTGTCCATTTGTAGAATGAATCCGTCAACATTGACAGCCTTGCCAGCATCCTTTGGTACAAATCCTCATTTGGGTAAACATAACTCCAACAAACAAACATAGAAGCTGAAAACATGATTTATAGTACTTATTTTAACTCATAGCATACTCCAACAACTATAGTTATTCAAGTATCATACACCACAACTATATTTGTCTGGTTGGTACAATTGGGCTTTATCAGCAAAAACGATTTCCCCTGCACATTAAGCCCACAGTGAGAGAGCAAAATTAAAACATGTACCAAACCACCGGCCAGTTGTTTATGATACTGAAATAACTATGCAATGTGAGGCCCCGTCCGATAGCGTTCAGTTGGTGCAAATAACTCCAATTTCACTATGGTTTATGGTACTTATAACGAACTAGTTATCCTGGGGATTTTGTTAACCAACGTTCACATCACAACGTGGGACCTCACATTGTAGTATTCACTTGGTGCATCCACGCCAAACAATCCACCAGCTTTGTGAGATCTTCCAGCCCGATGAACGGAGTGTGGGTACCCTCCGGTAAACGTTTACAGCTTGCGAACTGGAAAATCACCATCTTTAAGAGGAAAATCAACTATAAATGTTATGAAATTACCATAGCGAACTATAAATCTTTAATAGGAAAAGCAGCCATTTTCAATAGCAAACTGTTAAATTACCAGAGGTTATAGCAAAAATCTATCAAACAGCCATCCAGGGTTTCACCAGTTCACTGAACCCCAAAGAAAAAACTTCTTCGGCGCGCCAAATGTGTGCTGCTAGTCACAATGCCATCTCCATCTACAGAGTAAAATATAAACCATAACTAATTTTGTAGCCAAGCTGAAATCCATCTAACTGTGTATATATATATATAGTTATACACATATAAATAAACCATATATTATAGCTAAGTTTATCATTGGATTTACATGTATAATTCTATATACATAACTATGAGTAAATATATGTTTTATATAAATCTGAAGATATGCCCAATCCCAACAAACCATAGTTCCTTGTTAGTTATCGTGGTGAATCTTAGATACTTGCCTTAAACAGATTGATTTTTGGTTGGTTAGTACATTTTACCATCGATAGCAAAAGAGAAAAGTACCATGCCATGTATCTAACGAGTCGGTTGACCCAGTGATGTGGCTCCCAACTTAGCTATCATGTTTAATGTCAACCCTGGATTAATTAACCCCTAGGCCGGTTGTTGAAAAGGGAAAGGTACCATGTTGGAAATCTGGTTGGTGGTTTCAACCCCTCTGAAAAATATTAGTCAAATGGGAGTAGTATTCCCAATATATGGAAAAATAAAGCATGTTCCAAACCACCAACCAGAAATGACTATTGGAGGAGTACCCCCGCAATGAATAAACCATGGTGTTTGCGGGGACCACCTCATAGGATGAACCAACAAATGGCTCCCCACTGCGGCGCCCCTTTTTCTTTTCGGGCTATGATGGTCCCCACAGCGGCGTCGCGTTTCATAACCTCAGGGGACGCGATAAAGAAGCTCCGGGCTGCTGATTTGCGGGCTGAAACACGATTTCTTGGCCTGGGTCAGTTACAATAATTCTGGAAGATGGTAAATTCATTTTGGGCTAGTTACCCTGCCCTCCAAACTTGATTTTTCAAGGAATCGAAGCTCTCGTGGGGTTCTGGTTCAATTGCAAAAGCATACATGCAGATTGATGGTATGATCAGGATTGTGACTGCAAAGCCACATGTTGTTATGAGTCAAAACCCTCACCCTTTCACCCTTTCATCAGAAGCAATCGCTCAGAAGGCGGATGAGTCAAAACCCTGTACCCCTTTTGTTCACATCTAAATAGCTGGGATTTATTGATGTTCATCCCCCAAAACATGGTGTTTATAGGTATTGATCCATAGCCATGTAGTAAAACAATCCAGCGTAAAATTAATATTACTAAATAGATAATAATTAGTCACGCAAAATCATTTACACATCAACTGTATAGATTACAATTACATGATAATTGCAATGGACAGTTGACTACTAATAGCGATTTCCCGATTTCCATTTACAATTGATTGGCGACCGGCATAGATTTCTTTGTATATGATGTTGTTCGCCAAAAGATACACTGCTTGAAGTTGAAGGCAAATGAGGTTTGGTGAACTCATTCTTAGCGAAAGTCAATATCCAAGAATCTATGGCTACACAAACGTGGTTCTTCAGGCTTCTTACCTACAAGGTGGTGAACATAACTCCAATAACTAGGGTTGATTAGGGTGTTATATCTATAGTTAATGGGGATTATAAAACAACAAACATCACTGGGAGGTTACCACCTTGTACTTATAAGCTCATTAACTATATATATATATATATATCACCTATAAACCATAGTTATTGGAATTATAAACCAACTTAGCTATCTTGGGGGCACCACCTTGTACCTACTTATTGAAGCGTTTCTTCAGTTAATCCCAACAAAAATCCGACTCTTCCGCGGGCCATGGGGCCCTGGGACCCTGGGACTTTTTCAGCTTTTCAAACGAAGCCGTGCCGTGCCACGGTCGCCACGCAGGTCAGGAACGATGAAAAGCAACAGTCACATCCTTTTGTGCAGATTGTAGATGTATCCAGACCTGTACTACTCATGTATACTGTATATATATATAGATAGATATTAGAATTATATACAATTAATTAAACTTGTAATTATATGTATATGCTGTATATCCATCCGCTTTTCCCTCATTACAAAGCCACGTATGTATCTTGCTGGCCCACTTTCAAAATATCCATGAACAACCAAAAGTCGGAACACTTCTGTTACCAAAGAAAATACTTGCTGATCTCTTGCTGTCCTTGATCAACTCAGCTCTATGTTGAAAGCTCAATTCATATGCCATGGTCGACAGATGGGATTAGGGCCCCTGGTCACCCATCTAATGGGAATCCACACATGATGGCTATATAAATCCTTGTTACTAATATATATATATATATATTATAATTTGTATATACGTATATATATATATTGGATTGACAACCATCCCACCCGATAGGTATACAATCCAACTTTCGAGCTAGTCCAGCACAATGGACGGTATAGGTTTGTTTGAAAATGGCTACCGCATTTTGTGGCCCCCTTTTTCGCACCGTTTATCCATGGATTTTCCCCATAACAAGTGCCATGTCCAAATGCATCCATGCTAAGGACAATGGCCATATCGTAAGGCCTATCATCATGGTCCCTACAATGTGGGGCCCCCCAGTGATGTGAACGTTGGTTTAGATTCGCCCCAGTAACTAGTTCGTTAGAAGTACCATAAACCATAGTGAAATTGGAGTTATTTGCGCCAACTGAACGCTATCTTGGGGGGCTCACATTCTATGATTTTTTCCTATTATAACAAGGGCCATGTATATACCCTAACAAACTGGACTCCCCAGACCTCCCCAGTCATGTTTGTTGGTTTGTTGCATTCCACGAAAAAAAGTCCAGCAGCAAACCAACATGGTGAGGTCGAATCCCATACTTTGCCGAGTTGGTTGAACCAGGAGAACTGTTGGTTTTATGGAACGAAATTGCAAAGTTGACGCAGGTAACTTGGTTGATTAGAGGGATATAACTATAGTATTCATGTCTTTATAAGCCAACGCACATTTCACCAGGGGGGCTCATCTGGTTGTTTACACTTTACTAATGGGAGATATGATTTAATATGTTTAACCATTATCATCCACTGTCTGATTAGCTGTAGATCATGGTTTCTGATATTGCAGCTATAGTTATTCCCATTGTTTGTACCATTTCATATGATTTAACAAATATTTTCAAAATTGACTCTTTGTTTCCATTTAATAAACCCTTTGGATCCAAACACTG